TCTTGTGATACAAATCACTCATCTCTGGTATTATTTTACAGCATATAGAAAACACTGTAGAGGCGCTTGTGTAGCTCACTTCCCAACAGTCTCAGCGCTTCTCACTAGCTACAGAAAGTGCTCAAACTGTCTTCAAAAATAAGTCATGCATGAGCATGTGTCTATGGATTTTTTTTGACAGGCAGAGTGGACAGTGAGAGAGACAGAGAGAAAGGCCTTTCTTTAGCATTGGGTAGAGCTTCAAGGGGCAGCGCCGCCTAGCGCACCGCGCTGATCTGATGGCAGGAGCCAGGTGCTTTTCCTGGTCTCCCATGGGGTGCAGGGCCCAAGCACTTGGGCCATCTTCCACTGCACTCCTGGGCCACAGCAGAGAGCTGGCCTGGAAGAGGGGCAACCGGGACAGAATCCGGCGACCCGACCGGGACTAGAACCCGGTGTGCCGGCGCCGCTAGGCGGAGGATTAGCCTAGTGAGCGGCGGCGCCGGCCCAAGAGAACTTTTATTTAATAAATATAAATTTCCAAAGTACAACTTTTGGGTTATAACAGTTTTTCGCCCCATAACCACCCTCCCACCCACAAACCATCCCATCTCCCATCCCATTCTTCATTAAGATTCATTTTTAATTATCTTTATATACAAAAGCTCAACTTAGTATATACTAAGATTTCAACAGTTTGCACCCACACAGGCACGCAAAGTATAAAGTACTGTACGAAGACTAGTTTTACTGTTAATTTGCATAGTAGCACATATTAAGGTCAGAGATCCTACATGAGGAGTAAGTGCACAGTGACTCCTGTTGTTGACTTAACAATTGACACTCTCGTTTATGGCGTCAGTAATCACCCGAGGTTCTTGTCATGAGCTGCCAAGGCTATGGAAGCCTCTTGAGTTCACCAACTCCAACCTTATTTAGACAAGGCCATAATCAAAGTGGAAGTTATTTTTAACAGCCATGTCTTCTTTTTCAAAAAACAAAAAGTTTATTTATTTGAGATACAGAGAGAGAGACTGGGCAGCAAAGAGAGAGAAAGGAAGAAGGAGAGGGAGAAGGAAAACATGCAAGCAGACAGAACTCTCATTTTCTGATTCATTCCCCAAATGCTCCCACCAGCCAGGCTGAGTCAGGCCCACGCTGGAGTCAAGGATTCAATCCACATCTCACATGTCAGTGGTGGGGACCCGACCACCTGAGCTGTCACTGCTGCCTCCCAAAGTATGCATGAGAAGGAAGTTGGCATCAGGCACCAGGGCCAGAACTCAAACACAGGCACTGCAGTGTGGGACGAAGGCATCCTAAGCAGCATCTACACCAATAGGCCAAATGGCTGCCCAGGGACAGTCAGGTCTTTTAGAACATACTCAGGCAATTACTGTTTGTGCATGAAATTAGCACTCCTCTACGTGACTGGCAACGTTAGCATAACTATTCAAATACTCTTGGAATTCTTTTATGTGTAGGGTAGGTGGAGTACAAATGTAGAAAACATACTATTTCACTTTCCAGAATCATATATAGCAGATTTTGATCTTTGTTTGGACTATTTGGCCGTATGGGTGTCCTAACAAAATATAATGGCTTCTTCTCTCAAATCATAGAAGGAAATGAAATGCTATGAGTTTGATTCCCTGTCTGGTCACTTTAATAACCATTTAAATTTGGACAGGTTATTTGTCCCTCAGTTTCCTTCCCCAGAAAATGAGGATAAAAATAATTTCAGTTAGAACTACATGAAGTTAGTTTTTTTTTAAATTTATTTAATTGAAAGTCAGAATTACAGAGAGAGAAAGATAGAGGTCTTCCATCCTCTGGTTCACTCTCCAAATGGCTGTAACAGGGCTGGGCCAGGCCAAAGCAGGAGGCAGGAGCTTCTTCTATCTCCCACATTGGTGCAGGGGCCCAAGCATGTGGGCCATCATCTGTCCTTTTCCAGGTACATTAACAGGGAGCTGGGTTGGAAGTGGAGCATGGGGCCGGTACTTTGGTGTAGTGGGTGAAGCTGCCACCTGCAGTGCGGGCATCCCATATGGGCTCCAGTTCGAGTACTGGCTGCTCCACTTTCGATCCAGCCCTCTGCTGTGCCCTGGGAAAGTAGTGGAAGATGG